CGAAGCAGTTTTAGGATCAAAGTGTTCAAGAATGGTTTTAAACACAACTCTGAGGACTAAGGATGTAGCTCAGTGATCGAGTGCTTTCCTAGCATATGTGAGGCTGGGTTTAATCCCTAGTACTGTAAGAAAATAAATAAATGCAGCTTTTTTGTGTTTTTTGGGGTTTTTTTGGACCAAGAATTGAACTTGCCACCTCGAGCTTGCCAGGCAGGTGCTTAATGCTAATGAGAAAGAACCCTGGTCCGCTAAATGTAGCTTTAAAGAACCAATTTCTCAGGACGTGAACTCTCAGCCTTTGCCACTCAGCCCTACCCTACTTTGAATTCCTGGGGGAAATTCTTTGAACTTCTAGTTTATACCCCTATATAACCCTGCTCCAGGTCAGAGTATGAAAGAATGCAGGTTAAAGGACATCAAGGAATCTCATGTTTTAAAAATTTAAGGAATTTTATCCTCCTTCAAAACAACTACCTCCTTGATAAAGAATTAGAGAAAAGTTCTGAAATGTCCTAAATTTAATTATGAAGGGATAGGGGAAAGTGGGAAAGATGGAGCTTAATTAAAACACTATTTTACATTCTTCAATGTATGTTGAAATTTTAACTCAATTCTGGCCATTGACTCCTGCTTGTAGTCCCAAGCAATTCAGAAGTAATGGTTGCTTCTCCTTACGCCCAGCTATCGCAAAGTTTCTGGTAATGTTTATCAAGAGTCGATATAGGTGGGGGATACAGCTTAGCAGGTGCAGCAGTCAATGTAGATTAAATGAAAATAATTTGTACCTCCCTTCCTCAAATTTCCATTATAAAATAGCCTGTTTTTTGTTTTTGCTACCGGGGATCGAACTCAGGACCTCGTGCTTGCCAGGCAGGTGCTTACACTGCTGAGCTAAACCCATGGCCCAACAGTCTGGTTTTTTAGATCCAGTGGACATTTTTCCGACTGCCAGGAGCAATGAGTAAATGAGTTCAACTCAGTAAAAGAATATTTACCTGCAGAATACACTGGAAAGCTCAACAGACTTCAGGAAGCAAACTTTGTAGTTCCATTACCTCAAACGTCTCTATTGATATATTTCTTTAATTCAACTCATGAGTATTTATTGCAGGCTCAACCAAGCGTAACTGCTCCAGCCTAATGTAACTGGTAACTGCTGGTTATAGATCTAACTTGCACAAAAACTCTGAGGAAGGGTAGGATGACCATCCAGCTATCCTCTGTAGCAGGTGGTACTGTGGCAGGCACTTAAAACCCAGCATTAACTAGTGATTTCCTACTGCGCATTTTTTTCTTCTGTAAATCTGTATAACTTGTACCCCTTCACTGTTTTTTTTTTTCTTTTCTCCTTAAATAAAAAAAAAAGCAATAAGAACCGTGGGAGCAATGAAACCCAAAATGTGTAATAGTCATTGTACAAAAGAGAGGAAAAGAAAGTGCTCTAAACTATATAACTGCATGTATATTTAAATGTATAAGATAGAAAATGATATCACAGAGTTTTATTGGATCATTGAACAGAACTGTTTGCAGTATCATTGTTGGAATGTCCACTCTACAAGCTTTAATTTTGTGACTTGAACAATTATTTCTAAGATGGCAATATGTAACCCATTAACTAGTGATTTCCTACTGCGCATTTTTTTCTTCTGTAAATCTGTATAACTTGTACCCCTTCACTGTTTTTTTTTTCTTTTCTCCTTAAATAAAAAAAAACCCAGACCTAGGCTTTGCCCTCAGGCTAACAATCTGAGACTCCATGGTTAATAATGACTAACCAGCTCAAGTACTTTCTAGATAGGTACTGCTCTAGAGCTACTGACTGCTTCATCCTCCAAACAGCACTCCACCTCCCAGTGCTGCCCTTGAGCCCATATTAAAGATGATGTGAAGTAAATTCCCAGAGTGATACAGAAGGAAGGATACAGCTGACATTTAACCAAGGCAGTCTGAACTTCAACCTATTCCTTTATTAGAACTATACCCCCCAGCACACAGTCCCCTCCACTGTGGCTCTCAATGAATACCTACCCAAAAGAATTAGAAGGTTAATTTAAGTAACATAAGCAGAAAAAGAGTGTCTTGATGGAAGCACTACAGGCACAGATGGGAAGAAGTACTGTACATTAATTCCAACTGAAAGGGTCCAGAGGAAGTTAGTCTCTGAAGGTAAAAGGGGAGAGGGGGGCATTTCAGATCAAGAGGAGCAAAGGACCTACGTGACAATGATGAAATCTGAAATGACAATTGAGATCTGGGGATCCTATCTGCTGACTAAAGGTATTAAAGCAGATAGAAACAATAGGTTTTTATTTCTCATTTGTTACACCATGCACTTAACACAAGCACTAAAAAGAACAGTACATTTGGTAATTTCTATCCTGTAGGTAAGTAAAAAGAAAAGCAACATCATTGGTGAGTAATGGGAACAAACAGAGGTTATCGATACGGTCAGAAGTATTCCCTTGCTGTTTCCTATAAGAAGCAAATCGCTCATTCACTTGTATCTCCCAACTGTGCTAAAATCAGAGCACCTGAATATCTCAGGCCTTTTGCAGCTCCCACAGCAATCACCACAAGCTTAGAACAATGGTTGATCTTCTAGAAATGCAGGATAACTCTATTCGGAATGGATCTTACACGATAAGACCTCAGGCAACCCAAAATTATCAGTATCCAGGATGGATCATAATAAAATCTCAGGAACTAACATTTTTTTGTACCAGGGTTCAAACTCACAACCTCATGCTTTCCAGAGAGGCGCTAGTGTCGCTGAGCTATATATCACAGTCTCAAGGAACCAACATTTTTCTGACAATGACAAAATAAACCACGGTACCCCCAAATGAGCAAACCATGGTACCACTTGGCACCTAAATTGAGTATTTCAATTTACCAATATTGACCCTAATGTACATAGAAGTTTAATACTTTAAACATTCACACCATTCTGAGGGCTGAAGCAGAAAGATTACATGCAGGTTTGAGCTCAGCCTGGGCAATTTAGCAACTTAGTGAGACCTTCCATTAAAAAATAAAAAACTAAAGGTTGGGATATGTAACTCAGTATATCCCGGGTTCAATATCCAGTACTGCAAAACAATACCTTCATATAACATGTCTTTTCATTATTTCCACCTTTCTCTTTTTTGAGGTACCATTTCACACTGAGCTATAGCTCCAGCCTTTGTATGTTTTAATTTTGAAAAAGGGTCTCACTAAGTCACTAAATTGCCCAAGATGAGCTAAAACTTGCAATCCCTCCTGCCTAAGCCTCTCAAAGTGCTGGGATTACAGGTGTGTACCAACATGTCCGGTTTATTTTCCATTTCAAATGAAAATGAAGGAAGAGAGCTTTAAGCTAATCTTAATTTCAACAGGGTCCATGAAATGATTCTACCCTAGAATTTCCAAACACAACTTATTAAGTGCCTCATCCTTTAGCTGTGTATGGAAGGTGCATGGCTGAAAATTCCAGCAACCCAGAACTAGGCAGGATTGTGAATCTGAGGCTAGCCTGGGCAACACAGTGCGAGCCTCATCTCTCAAATAAACAACGACCCCCCCAAAAAGTATCCCTCTACTTGTTTCTTCAAATAAATTAACATTCTCAGATAAACTGAAGGTCCAACCATACAGTGAACCTCTAATTAGTACAACAAAACATCTAAATAAACTATTACTTAAATTTCCATCCAAATAAACACACAAACTGAAATAACTTCTCCGTTTCAATGTTTTATCTTACAGGGTTCGCTTTGCTAGGCAGGGCAAGGTCTGGTGGGTGGGTCCCAAGTTCTTTTCCACTACGTGCAGATTGAGTTTCTCAAGCAAAAAGAATGAATGCAGAAACACAGGTTTAAAAGGTATTTATGTATATCACTATCCTGAGATATTTATTAGGTTTTGCCTTTAATAAATGATAAAATCACAAAATGAAAATGATTTAAGCCATTCCCTGACGCAACAGAAGGCCCAATACGAAACTGCCCCTTACTCCAATGAAAAGCATGTTTTAAGTGCTAAAAAATTTCTCCCTTGATTTCTTTTGCTTGATATAGCTTATATAAAACACATTTATGTACAAAGATTTTGCGGTTTTTTGTATGCTTGCTAGACTGCAGTAAAATTTTTCTAAAAAATAGCTCACATTAAAAAAAAAAAAAACGGTATTGCCAGTAAAAACAGCACGAAATCGGTTTTCAACTTGCTTACACCCCCGCACTACCTGCAACCACTTTACAGAACAATAGCGCCAGAAGACTCCAGACCTGCTTATCAAAATCTGCTGAATGTCCTCAAAAGCCCCCGCTGCGGTGGTCAGTATGGGACCAGCGCCCCAGGCTCTCAGCATCAGCAGCCTCAATTGCTGTGCTGTCACGTGAAGGGGCCCCGACCTGGCCAGACACCTGGAACCATTTGGGCGGCGGGGGTCACCCAGCGCGGGCCGGTCCCTCTGTCCATGCCAGGGTGTGACCCACCGGTTTTGTCCGCCGGGGTCACCAAGAAGCTGCAAAACTGGGCCACTTTCGGCGTGGGCTGTAGCTACCGCGGGTGCGCGTTTTCCGGGACTCGGCGGATGCGCAGGCCAAGGCGAACGCCGCCGGGAGATCGCCTGAGCTACCTCAGCGTCCCCCACCCCTCGGCTCTTTCTGGAGGACAGGGGGAAACATCCCAGAAACCCTTCGGATACCAAACGTGGGCCCCGCTACCTCCACCCCAAGCACACCTACCCACCCACAGCCACCCTCCGAGGTATTCATTCGCTGGTGCCATACCGGGAGGGGTCCTAGCCACCTGCGGAGAGAAGCACAACCTCGAGGGATTTCGCGCCGATAATCCTAGACCCGGTAAGGGGCTTTCACCATAGCTCTGCGCTGTGCCCCCACCCTCACTGCTCCGTAACCAAAGCCTTTCGTACCCCGCCCCCCCGCCCCGCTCCCCACGCCGCCGCGCGGGGTCCCAAACCGGCTCCCGCCCCAGCACTGCCAGGGCCTTACCCGCAAGACGGTGGTTGGGTGCCGAGGTCCGTAACGCGTTCGTCTCAGCCATCTTCGCGGGGAGCAGAATGCCCTTTGAAATCCCCTCAGCCCGGGCGCTCGACCCCAAACTGCCGCCGCGCTCCATCGGGATGAGCCAGCCGCACAGGCGCACTGCCCAGCCAGCCGCGCCGCACTAGCCTCGCGCGCGCCCGCTTGCGCACGCGTTCTAACACAGCGCGCGCAGCTCACACCGGCCGGCAACGCCGCACCAGACCTTCGCGCACCCGCATGCGCATAATTTCTCATAGAACGCACACGCGCACGCAGAGTCTGCACGTGCTGTGGGACCCACGGTTCTCACGCAGCGTGCGAATAGCGTGCACGTGCAATATGCATAACAGTCTTCCCATAATGCACCCACCGGTCTTTACTGCTAACCATCCACAATGTATTTCACATGCTAGACCTGCACACTGTGCGTAGCTCTTTGAACAGTGCTTACCTGCAGCATGCATACACAACGTGGGCAACCAAAGTATGTATAAATGTAGGTTGCAGTGATAGCATACACACACATCCTCACTGTGTTAACAGCACACACACCTGTTCACCCAGAACTAACACACCCTTATGTGGCTTGCACAGGTTTACTACGGGGCTGCGTACGAAGTGCTGCCACTGTATACTGTTCCGAGCTAGGTCCTCCGGGCGAATGGTGAGTGCAGCATGTGTGGGCACCATAGGATATATCTTCCAAACACAATTTCCAGTTCTTGAGTACTTTAGGTATGAAGTGAAACCCCCACCAAGACATGTGGCCCTCACTGCAGGTAGGTATGCCGGGTCAGACCCCGCCAGGCTATTAGAGTGGCCATTTAAGGAAAAGCAGGGCGTGACGGCCATTTTAGAAATCTTGCCTAAGACTTCTAGGCACAGACGCACACAAGAAATTGCTGAACTTGTCTTGGAAGTAACGTTGAAAAGAGGTGAGGAAACCCCGCCTCCCAGTCCTTCTATCCCTGCTATGGAATTTATTTTTTTCAGGAACATATTGAAGGAGCTCTAAGTGTAGTTCAGTGATGCTTTGCTGGCTTGTGTGAGGCCTAGGGTTTGATCCCAGCACCACAAAATAATGCTCAATCATACCGAAGAAGCTATCTTTGTCTGGCCACCCCAAGCCTCCAGGTGCTTTACTGTCTGCCAAGTGATAACCCTAGGCTGTACGTTGGAGTTTTATTTTGATTACTGCATAGAGCACAGGGCCTTCAATACTGACACAGTAAGCGACAGCTGCAGCCATTTTTATTTTGAGACAGGGTCTCTCCCTAAGCTGCCCAGGCAGGGCTTGAATTTTTTTGTTGTGTTGTTGAGTCCCGTTATGCAGTTCAGACCACACTTGAACTATGTGGCCCAAGATAGCCGCACTCCCCACAATCCTGCAACGTGCCCCACTGCTCCCAGCTGAGCTTCAACTTTCAATCCTCTTGCCTCAGCCTCCCAGTGTTGCTTGTCTGGAGGTTTTTATTCCCATCCTGGGGGAGAAAGGATATATATGATTAAGAAAGCATTTCAAACCAGGTGTTGATACAGGCCTGTGATCTTAGCTACTTAGGAAGGCTGAGACAAAAGGATCACAAATTTGAGATAAGGCTGGGTAACTAACAATTTAGTAAGATGCGGTCTCAAAATTAAAAAAAAAATTTAAAAGCGTTTGGGATGTAGCTCATTGAGAAGGTTCAGTTCTCAGTACTGTTAAAAAACCTGAAAATAATTTAAAAACATTGAATGGGCTGGGCATGTAGCTCAGTGGTAGAACACTCCTGGGTTTGACCTCTTGTACCCCACCAACAAACAAATGAAGTTAAATGGGTACAAGTTTCTTTGGATGATGATGGAATGTTCTAGAATTAGAGTAACATTTCATACCTGTAGTATACTAAAACCCACTGAATTGTACATATTGAACAGGTGAATCTTACGGTGTATTAATTACATCTCAATTAAAAATGGAGTTATAGCCCTCAGGAACTGGCATCTAAGTCTCTTGGAAGAAGGCTTGGAAAGTCTTTGGTGGAACATAAATGTTTCTGTGATGAACATGTTCCTGACACACCCAAAGGTGTACCTGGAGCAGGACGCAAGTGTACTGAGCAAGCCAGAGGGAATTAAGGGAGACACAAGTGAGCAGGGAAGCAGGCAAGTCAGGGCCAGTACCTGGAACTGTAAGAAAGCCTAGTTAAGATTAAGCAAAATTAATAAAAGCACGGGGACTGTTATTTTTCTTTTAAAAAAATTTATTAGTGCATGTTTGAGATACATACATTACTATAATTTCTTGACCATTTTGAGCCTTGTACCACCTCTCCATATCCTCTCCCTCCCTCTTTCCTCTGATTCCCTTTCTCTTCCCCAAGGTCTGTCACCATTTCCTACCATCTTTACTTTTTTTTTTGTACAGGGAATCAAACTCAGGAACTTGCACTTGCCAGGCAGGCACTTGTGCAACTGAACTGTATCCCCAGTCCAACTTTATTTATTTATTTTTTTTGGTACTAGGAATTGAACTCATGCTTGCTAGGCAGGTGCTAAGTCCCCGGCCCCCACTCATTAGTTAATTTCTATTTTTGGATTTCCATCTAAGAGAAACCATACAATATTTATCTGTGACTGACTTATTTCACTCAACATGACGATCTCAAAATCTGCCAATTTACCGAGAAATGATTTCACTGTTATGGCTGAATAATATTCCACTGTATATCCATACGACAATTTCTTTATCCTTTCATCTACTCAGGGGCATCTAGGCTGTTATCAGAGCTTGTTTATTATGAATTGTGCTGTCCCAAACATGGGCACATATATATCACTGTAGTTTAATTAATGTCTTTAACTCTTGGGAATATACTCAGGAGAGGTATAGTTAAGTCAAATACAATCAACCTTCAGTTAGCCTAAGGAGATAAAAAAGCTGTAGAATAAAAACTGTAAAACTCTGAAGAATGAGATTGAAGAAGGCAATTAGACAATGGAAAGACAACACCTGTTTCTGAATAAGTAGAATTAGTATCATTAAAATGGCCATATCACCTAAAGCACTATTCAGATTTAATGCAATACCTATCCAAATACCAACATTCTTCACAGAACTGGAAAAAGTAATCCTAAAACTTAAATAGAACCAAAAGAAACTTAGAATAGCCAAAGCAATCCCGAGCAAAAAGGGCAAAATTGTGGGAAGCATCACAATTTTGAACTTCAAATTATATTATGAAGCTATAATAACAAATATGGTATGGTACTGGCAAAAAATGAGACAAATGGAATAGACACAGAATCTTATGTGCCTTTAGCTTTGACAAAGAGGCCAAAAAACATACATTGAAGAAATCAGCTGAAAAAACAGAATTACATCAAATTGAAAAAATTCTGGACAGTGAAAGAAACAATCAATGGAGTAAAGAAACAACCTACAGAATGGTGTAAGGGACTCAAATTTACTTTTCTCTATAATTTTCTCAGCACCATCTTTTGATCTTTCCCTTAATGATTTTTAAAGGCCATTTTATCATATATCAAATTCATATATACAAAGACTTGCTTCTGAGCTAATTTTGTTAGTTTCTGCATTCAGTTTTTTTTTTATGGTCTAACTCAGTATCCAGAGTTCTCTTTTGGCATTTTCTGTATGTGTGGGGCTAATGATTGACTTCAGGCCCTTGTGCATACTAAATATATGTTCTACCAGTGAGCTACATCTTAGCCCCATGTACTTCTTAAAAATTAGCTGAGATACTAATAATCTTCATATTAAACTATTTTATGTTTTCTAATCTCCCATCCTCAAATCCTGCTGTAATATTAATTGCAATTATATTAAACTCAAAGATTAAATTGAGAAGAACTCTTTTAGTAACAGTATTGTCAGACCATCCTGGAATATAACTTATTTTTTCTAAATGGCATTCAAGTTTCCTGGCTTTTTTCTTATTAATTTCCTAGAAACCTATACTTACAGTTGAATATCTTAAAATCTACTTGTTTTATGCTACAATGGCAGAATTGAAGTTTTAACGAGACCGTATGTCCTGCAAAGTGTAAAACAGTTATTATCTGGTCCTTTATAGAAAGCCCTTAACTTCTGATTGGGAATCAAAAAATTTATAAGGGTGGTAATTTCAGTTTCAGGATTCTAATTTCCCTTAAAATTTGCAAAAAGTGTCAATTTTTCCTTCGAGTGATAAGCCCACTTGTGAGCTATTTCTATCTCTTAATGATTATATAGATTTTCCACAACTTTGTTAGTGCATATGGTAGACATTAGTACATACTGGTTACACAGATTGATGGTTTGACTTTTGGCACATTCATACCTGCATGTAACATACATTGATCATTCTAACCCCTTTCACTTCTTTGGCCCCACACTCCCCCTATTTTCATATTTAGGGGAGGACTTTCAGAAAATATTATATATAAATTTAAAACTGCATTATTAATAATAAACCCAATGTTTTACACACTTTTAATGAAAAGTGACCAAAAAAAAAAAAACCAACCAAATTTGAGATGGCATTCAAATTGTTGCAAAACTGGCTTAACAAAAGATAGTCTCAGGCTAGGGATTTAGCTCAGTAGCAAAAGTACCTGCTTTGCAAGTGTGCAGTCGTGAGTTCAATCTGCGGTACAAAAACAAAAAAAAAACAACCCAAAACAGAAGATAGTCCCATATCTACTTTTATGATCAATGTGTTGCAAAATGATATTTTGGTCAAAGCATATAAATAAATAACTCTGGCTCAAGGACATAGTTCAGAGCTTCAGAATACCCAAACTTGAATGTGGCTCTTATTGGAATGGTAGTTCTGTGCCCCTTCCCCATTTCTCTTTTGATCCGGTATTCATCAGTATTCTTCACCATATCCTTTGTGGTAATACAGAGTGAATGTATCCCCCCAAGTTCTGTGAGATACCCTAGCAAATTAATTCCAAGAAGGGGTCGTGAAGTGGTAGGTCAGAAGCACAGGTAAACAATTTGGACTGTGATCAGCATCTGAGGTGTGATATGAGTTATGGCCTTGGAGACTGAGCTATCTTCAGCTACTGTCAGAACTAAATTATAGGATATTCAGCTAGTATCTGCCTCCTGCAGAAATGACTGCTTGCTTGGCATATGGGGAAGACATCCAATTATATGGTCACAGAAATCTGTGTTGACTGAGAGTATATAAAAACCAACTTTAGTCAATATTCTCACTAAATTCAGAAAACTCTAGGTATGGGGATGTAGCTCAGCGATAGAACACTTGCCAACTATGTGCAAGGCTCTAGTTCAAGAAATATTTAAAATCATAGATATGAGCCAGGTGTGGTGGTGTGTATGGAATTCCAGCAATCAGGAGACTGAGGCAGGAGGACCATTATGAGTTTGAGGCTAGTCTACAATACATAATGAATTTAAGGCCAGTCTTAACAACATAGTGAGACCCTGTCTCAAAACACACACACACACACACCATAAATATGTAATTAACAATGTAAGCTGACTTTGATTTTGGCCCTACTTTTCATCTACCATTATCAGGTTGTGAACTAAATAAGACATGATTGGATCAGTAAAGACTAGCCTTTTAAAAGTGGGCAAATTGGCCACAAATATATTTACTTCACTTATATATAGGTCTTTGCATAGTATAAAAGCATCTCTGTTGAATGTGATTTTGGCAATCTTCAGACTATTCTGGACATTAAAACATGTCTTCAGCACAGATTTGCAATAAATTCGTTTGCTGATAAATGCAACCCCATATTTGGAATGTGATTAAATGGATTCATTCAGTTCAGAGTCAAAAACAAAGATAAAAATGAAAAATATATCTTAAGTTTAGTTAAAAATTTATACAGTTTGAAAAGAATCAATTGTATACATTGTTCAAAGCTGATTTATATTTTATTTTCTAATTGCAGTAGTTTGCATCTGATTTCTTTACAGTATTACACATGGTGAGAAAAGAAACCTCTAAACCAGTTACTACTAATTAGTTGTCATGAACCTGTAGTAAAATGGTTCATTAAAACTTAAAAATGAAGTATTTCCATAGCCATCAATACTAGTAACTATAAACTTTCTATAAAGAAATATAGAACAGTTGGTAATCTATAAAATATCTTCAAGCAACTTTGAGACTTCTCAGTCTTACACTGAATTTTAATTAAGGTCAGAAGCAATTGTGTTCACATGAATATACAAATATATATTCTACACGATCTTTCTATTATAGGAATCAAAGATCGCAAGCAATAAGATATGATAAATAGAGAATACAGAAGACATGCATTTTCTTCCACAGTCCTCGACATCAAAGTGAAAAACAGGCAAACACTGTTCTAGGTGCATCATATATACAAAAATCTACATTATTAATCCTCCCAACAATTCTGTGAGGCAGGTACCATTCTGATCAGCCACATCTTATAGGTTCAGAGCCTGAATCTGAGACAAGCTAGAGAAAGCACTTGTGGTTATCTGCAGTAGAGGGCAGAGTGGGGTTGTGGTACAGGACACTGGACCCCAAGAGCCTCTGCTCTTCCTCTTCTAGCGCATAGCCTCAAAAGTGCCAGGGGTGGGGGCAAAGTCCAATATACTCTCCAAATTGCTCAGTTCATTTTATACCTGAGAGTCTAGTGCTTTTTCACATTTGTACCAAGACTTAATTTAGAATTTGTTCTTTCCTAAATAGGAAAAAAAAAACAAGGATAAAAAAGCTCAGTGGTTGCACTCTTGAGACGCTAAGGTAGGACTGCAAATTCGAGCATTGCTTGGGCAACTTAGTGAGACCCTAAAAGTTAAAAAGGCGGGTATGTGTGTGTGTCTGTGTGACTGGTTTAAGGTAAAACCAAAAACATAAAGTAGTCCGCAAAAATTTGCGGGGGCTCCAAATGATATAAATGAAACTTATACTTACTGAGCAATATAAACATCTTAAACCAATGTAAATCCTTTTAATTGTTTAAGACAATCAGGTAACAAAGAACTTCATTTTTATTCTGATACTTTTATCTGTCAGGCCACAGTCAATACTGTATGTTGTAATATCTATACACAATATAAATCAAGTAGAAATCTACCTATTTTACTCAGAACATGCTTTTATCTATTTGATACTCAAGAGTTTCTCTGAAGTCAACACTGACAGCAGTTTATACCTACTAAAGATGTTATTCAACATCATAGTGTAATATTTGTGTAAGAAATGACATTAAATTAAATTACAAGTCACACAGTTTTTAAGCAGCTATTTATAGCCATGATTCCATAGATGTAATGAATAAATCAATGGCTATTTGGCTATTTTTCAATAAAATACAAAATTTTTCATCATGCATAGTTTATAGGCTTAAGAAGCCCCTTTAAAAGCTGGATGTTCAATAAAGATTCAACAGTCAAGTAAGTTTTGGCAAGTCTTTTTACACAAATTCTTCGTTTGGTTTTTAGCCACTTTAGTAACACATCATATATTCTAAACGGAAATAGAATAAACTATTAAAAATTCAACCCTATCAAATTGATTGGTAGTAATTATTCTACCTTCTTAGAAGAAGCATTATTCTTAGGTTTAAAATTTTTTCTGAGTATTGCTTATAGCACTCTATCATGGGAGCCAAAAAATTACCAGCACCACCACCAACAAAAAAAATCCAACCAAGCAAACAAAACAAAAACAGGTTTTCTTGTGGACCACTTCCATTCCTTACTTGAAACAATCAAATCAGTGAAACTATACAATTTCCACATCAAAATTAGTCAAAGAATTTCTAACAGTAGCACTGTGTATTAGCTACAACTGTACCTCAACTATTTTAATCATTAGAGTCTAGATTTTCCAAGATGTAAACAATACTAGATTGGGCTGTTATATCAACACATGAAAAATATACCACAAGCAGGTACATGAACTGGGGTCATAGTAATTTTTCAAAAACTCTTAAAACATATTTGCTAGAGGACATACGTAGAAAAACTTATTTTTGAGTTGCACTATCCCTAACAAAACTATCATATACGGAACAGTTCAAACATTCTTTATAAGGTCACACATAGGGATCTATATACACTATAAATTTAGCAAAACACTTTTAGGTTTACAAGCCTAAATACCCCATGTTTAGGTTATTGAGGAAGACAACTGCCAAGTATGTAGTTCAAGGATGGTTTCTTCTGAGTTATTAAAAACCAGCCCTTGGTCTTAGCTGCATTCGACCTAGGTAAATGCATAGAAATTCCATAGAATAAAAAACAAGAACCACAATGATACACTGTAATGTTTATAGTACCTCATATTTCAAATTCAGAGTTTGCATACTTAGGAAAGAAAATTAGCTGAAGTGGTAGTTTTTTTTGGGATACTGGTAATCAAACTCATGACCTCACATTTGTCAGGCAGGTGCTCTGCTACCTATAAGTGAATACTGCCACCTATAAGTGCTATATCCCCGCCCCCTGAAAGTGGGATTTTAAAAGTTCTTATTTATTTTGTTATGTATTACTTTCCATCACTGAAAAGTTCTCTGGAGACCAACATAGTAAAAGCTCCACAAGACACGTGATGGATCTGCTTTAAAAAGGCGTATAATTGCAATGTAGCTAATGAGGTTTGACTAGCCTAGCCCTATGTTTGTTTTATTAGAAAAGCTGATAAACTAAATAAGGAAGGGTAAACCTAAAATCCCAATACAAGCAAAAACAGAAAAACTCACCAACCAAAACTGTCCACATAATACACCTTATTACAAAGTGAGGCTATAATACACTCTGCAGCATTATTATTTTACTGTACTTCTCACGGTAGCTCTCTTTTCCATTCAGAAATTGGGAGTTGTACTGAGCTTGGAATCTAGGAACTTTTCACTGAGCTATACCCTCAGTCCTTAAATGTTTATAAAGCATTCACAATTACAACTACACACATGACTTCTGAAAATAACATTTTAAAATAAATCTTTCTGTTCTGTAAAAATAGCCTGCATACATATGATCAAAACAATTTTTTCTTGTTTGGGAAATTTTCTATGCACAGTAATTACAAAAAAAAAAAACAAAAAAACAAAAAAACCTCAACAATTACAACAGTATCTCCACTGTTAAGATAAGTGGGTGCCATCTAGTGTTTAACTTCTACAACTAACCTCACAAATTCAAAACTAGTATTAAAACCCAGGTTCTAAAAACTACATTTGGGAAATGCTTCCCCCAACCCATGTTTATGATGGCAAAGTAAAATCATGAGAACAATGTAATGATATCAAAATTAGTATAAAAATAGTCACATGCTACTAAATATGGAAAACAAACCTATTGTTTTAATTCAAATGCAGATTTAGGTCTCCAGTAAACTGTATCAAAATCTTGAGGGAGGGAACATCTAGGTAACCAGAATATACAGTCTGTATAGTCAACAGGCTAGTCAAAAGTTAGGGGTTAATCACAATCTATAATGAATACAAGGCAAATGGTTTATTCAAAACATCAATTTACTTACTGGAGGGGGTCGAAGCAGGAAAGACAATAATGTATTATTTTTTGAAATACATGTGGTCTTCTACTCATAAGCTCCATTACATCAATAGAACCAAACTGGGCTTAACATTTCACTTGAGATGATTCATCATTAACAGTTTTTACAGAAACAAAATACCTTAGAACCAAATCAAAACTGCCTGAATAAATTACGATCATGCTAATGAAAACTTCTTGGAGAGTTATGGCCAAAATCCAAACTGCAGGATAATCTTCTGAAAAACTGGAATGTAAATTGGTGAGTTCAATTTAGATCTGAAAGGGAACAGAACATCAAGTCAAAAGAAAGAATACTTCCACAGACTACTACTACATGTAAGTGGAACTTTATGCCTTAGGCTATCTGGGAAACAGATAATTCCCAGTTCTGGGATGCTGACAGGGCTCTTTATGAGGTCCTTTATAAATGCTGCATATTATAAAGATTTTGTTTTTTGGAGTAATGAGGATTGAACACAGGGCCTCGCACATGCTAATCAAGCACTCATCACTGATCAGTTACACTCCGTCCCCTTTTTAAGTGCTGTCTAGGCTGGCGTCAAAATTGATATCCTCCTGAAGTATGTGTTATTACAGATTAACTACTGTTATTACAGGCATGTGCTACCTCAGCTGGCTAGAATATGCTTAATGAAGTTTAGCATTTTCTTCCTTTCTTTTGGATAGTGATTTGAAATTTTGTATTTTAGATGTGAGAACAGACACAAGGAAACAAGATCTCTTTAAGAACTAGACAAGTGTCCGCTAAAAAAAAAAAAAAAAAAAGAACTAGACAAGTATGTCCTAAATCTCTTCCAGTTAATCTGATGTAAGAGTACAGTAGAACACCTATAAACCATCTGGACAATGTCTCCAGGAAACAGGGTTCTCAGGTGCCGCAGCAGCTTTTCTCTGCGGCAGGCCCCTCTCTTGTACTGCTTCTGCCCTAGACTAAAACCTCTAAAAACATGAATCAAAATAAACCTTTCCTCCTTTAATTTGTTGGTGTCAGGCATTGAGTTCCAACAATGAGAAGAAAGTGACTAATATGGTATTAACAACAGCTTAGTCACAAGAATCGTCTCAGCTCAAGATCTCTAAAGTGAAATATATATATATAAAATAGATGTATCCTTTTCCCATTTTCTATTTTGGATTTTTTAAAAAGGTGCTGAGGACTGAACCCAGGGCCTTGAGCATGCTAAGCACATGTTCTACAAATACCCCTAGACCTATACTGGGTTATGCTTTAAAATGTACATGTTTGCAAAAATAGTACCATGTTTCAAAGTAAACAGGTACATACGTATTGGGGGGAGGGGAGGCACTCAGGTTCTCTATAATTCACAGTTTGGAGATACATCAAAATTTAGACTAAGGATGAATTTAGGGATAGGTATGTGATAAATCTAATGTATGCAGGTTTCAAATCAGATTCAACAATTTGTAGGAAATACCTGAAAAAACTGTATCCTGTATGCATTTTTCCTGACACCTCTCCCCAAACAGCACAACCTTTTATTTAGCATCTTCATGGTATTAGGCATTAGAATCACCTAAAGGCAATCTAAAACATATGGGAAGATGCACGCAGGTTATGTCCAAGTAGTGCAGGATTGTTTTCCTTCCTTTCCTTTGCAGTACTGCGATTAAACTCAGAGCCTTTGTAACTCAGGTACATACATCCCCAGTCCTTTTTAAATTTTTAAAATTTATTCTACTAATTATTATTATTTTGGTGGTATTTGGGGTTAAACTCAGAGGCTTTGCTCTGAAATACAGCAGTACCTTGGTTTTATGATTTTGGGTAAGATGGCTGCATTTGTGTTTGTGTGGGGAAGATGGCCTTGGTCATGTTTTTCACCCAGTGTGGAGTTTGAACAGAAGCAAAATTCTGCCAAATGCTTTTGTTTGTGAACAGAATAAATTGTCTGCAAACAGAAGTGTTTATGAACTGAGGTACTACTGTACAATACCTAGCCTTTTTGAAAATTTTGAGACAATGTTTCTCTAGTGACCCTTCTAGCTCATTTTCCCAGAATGGCATAACTACAGGCATGTACCACCATGGGCAGCTTCAAATACTACACCATTTAAATAAGGGACTTTAGGATCTGTGTGTGTCCGTCCTATAATCAATATCCTGAGGTGACTGTGCAGAACCACATGTGATTTTGCTTAAATCAGATCTACGAAAGACCTGACTTGGCACTTGTGATCAGGAAAAACTGCTCAAGATACTTTGAAATTCTTTGAACAAAATCAAACAGTATTATTTTGGCGTTTTTACACATGGCTGTTTTCTGAACTACATTTTATATAACGGGGGTCGAAACCAGATTTCACAAGTTCCACTGGCTTGAAACAACAATGGTACATTCATGGCTGTCCTACTGGGTGGCTTGTTCCTCTGGTAGTAAAATGGTATTTAATCATTTTTATCAGTGGTACTAATAAAATCAAAATATCATGTGATGGGACAGCCATGCATGTACTACAGGTGGTTTAAACTACCCAGCAGCAAGACATACGAATTACAGCTCTGATGTGAACATGTAAGAGTAACTTGTTACATCAGTAACTAAATTTATGTTGCCAAAAAATCATATCTGAATTTCATTTAAATGCAATAACAGCCTCTTATGGGAACTACTGCTTTATTAGGAAAAACAATACATCTTTCTCAAAATAAACATACTGAAATCAGGAGTTTAATGATAGTGCATACTGAACAGATAAATCATTGGCAAGGCTTTTAATGAAGTTATAATTTCAATGCTTCAACATTAAGCTGGTTCAAATAAGATTATTCTTTAACATACTAATGGCTCACCTGAGCAGGCATGTTCTTTTGATAAGATATTACTTTTTTTTTTTTTTTTTGTCTTTTTCCTTTATTGGTACCAGGGATTGAACTCAGGACTGCCTGCTTGCAAGGCAGGCGCTTATGCCGCTGAGCTAAATCCCCAGCCCCGATATTTCATTTTTTAGATACTGGCTCCATTTCTCTTTCTTTGCAGTGCTAGGGACCAAACCCACCAGCAGGGCCACTATACGTTCTACCACTGAGCTACATAACCTCACTCCTAAGTACTCTTAAGTTATGATTAGAGTATCTGGCATTCATATTGCCAAGGCAAACACTGATTTATTCTGAAGAAATATATATACCTGAATAAGGAAGAAGTATGTAAGAATTCTCAAAGTATAAGGTTGGCTGTTTTCTAAACACTGAGGATTTTAAACAATTGCTAAGTCTCAAAATACAGTCTTATTTAAGTGTTCCAGATTCCCAGAATTAAAAGACCTTCAGAGAAAGGGCTGCTTTCTCTATGGATAACTTACAAACAGAAATCTACTTACATCGTCAATGTCTTCATCATCATCTCCAATGTCATCAAACTGAATTTCATCATCATCTCCAGGACCAAATGTATCAGTTTCATTTATCTTAGCTAAAGACATCACAACAAATATATAATTAAGATGTTACTAAAATTAGTAGCTGCCCACTATAAGTGGGTTTGATAACAAGTACTAAAGTATAAAAGGAATTCATACAAGCCAACTTTGTAATTTAATCAGTTTTCATTTTAAGATACACCTTCCAAATCTCTTATCTACCAAACCTACTATTCACAGCAAAATATTGTGAAGTATTTCATAAAAATTATTGCTCTGTCAAGATGAAAAGTATTTGTTCAATGTTTTTGGTCATTCACATAAGCATTTTTCATTTCTAGCCAAGGCTGGTTCTAATTATGTTAGTTCTGAAGTTATGGTATTTTCCAGATATACTTCAAAAATGTTCTGAGCAGCTGGGCATGGTGGCACATGCCTGTAATATCAGCACTTGGGAGGCTGAGGCAGGAGGACTGTCAAGAGTTTCAGGCCAGCCTGGACAACATAGTGAGTAAAGGCCAGCCCAAACTGCATAACAAGAACCTGTCTCAAAAAAAAAAAAAGTTTGGAGCCATGTGCTACACACTTTATTTCCTTGAGATATGTGTTTCCAGATATGATTATTTCTTAGATCATAAATGCTGATACCTCCAAAATACAGAAAAATAGCTGACAAGTAGAAAATGTAAGCCTATAAAATAGTATATAACGTGTATTTTCCCTCATGAGAGTATGAGAGACTTAAGTTGTCTGTATTAAGAATGCAGTGCTTTTGTATTTAGAAGGGGGAAAACAGAATATCAGTTTAAAAAACTGCAGGTAGCTGAGGATTTAGCTCAGTGGTGTAAGCGCCTGCCTGGCAAGCGCAAGGTAATGCGGTCGATCCCCGTTACCATAAAAACAAAAAAACAAAAACAAAAAACAACAACAACAACAAAACAACTGCAGGTCACTGATACAAGGATAAAATAGATTGAAAACTGGCTTTTTAATGCAAATAAACTCGTATTACTAATTTTGGAAGAATTGCATTATAGTTCAGGCTGGTCCCAAACTTGCAATTTTTCTGCCTCAGCCTCTTGAGTATGGGATTACAGGTACATGCCAACACATTCAGCAGGAATTATTGTTTAAAAAACATATTTGTAGTGCAGGGGGTTGAATACAAGGGCTTACACATGCCAGGGGTGCAGCCTACCACTGAACCACAACCCTGGCCCTTCTTGAAGGAACTTAAAAGTAATTACTGTGGTAAAGTACTTCATTTGGCATTATGCAGAAGCCCAGGAACTTACAAAACATAACTGATTAAAGTATATTTGTCAAAAAGAGAATTGCAATTTTTTTTCTTATAGTATATTATAATAAATCTCCAAAATTCTACAAAAATTCCTTTTTCTAGCCACCATCTGATAAGTTAATTTAACTCAGTCATTACCATGCTCAGGAAGCTCGCCGTAGGCTTTTAAACTTCTTGCTTCATCTGCATTGTACTTAAGAATCACATCAGCTTTGTTATCCTTAAATATAAACAAGTAGGTTTTATAACTGATTATACTAAAATATCAGTTATTTCATAAATCACTTTCAAGTTGAATAAAATAAACTTACTGCTCTGTTACAAATCCTTCTTTTTTTAAATTTTAAAGTTTTAGGCTGGATGTGGTAGGAGTTTCAGGCTGTTGAGATCAAAGACAGGCCTAAACTACACAGGGAGACTCTGTCCTAACAAACCAAACTAAAAACAATTTAAAAATCTAGTTTTCTATCCCTGAACAAGATCCTTGTGTTTAAGCCAGAAGGTTACATGCTTAATTTAATAATGACTAACTAAATACATTTATAGATCTTAACCATAAAAACTCAAATCTTTTAGGTAATAGAAAATTACCCTTGGAATACAAAGTTCCCTAGTACCACAACTGGTAGGTTGATCAAACAATGCAAATAAAAAACTAAGTCTCTGGTATGACCTAAGGAAATCTTTTCAAATAGCTGTACTTCCCAGGTCATGTATCAATCAGAATCTTCTGGAATTTTCACATTTCATGAAGATTAGTGGATATGAACGTGAAGCCCACCAATTTAATTTTAGAAGTTCTTTAGGTATTTCTGATGCAAATGTCTGAGAAATACTGCTTTAAAATATTTACACTTCTCTGTTTGAAAAGAACTTCAGCTAAGGGAGAAAACTGAATTAAGAGCAGTGTCATTAAGACCAGAACTTTAAAATCATGAAATGTATAGAAGCCCATGGAAATCTTGCCACCATGCTTAATTTGATTAAAGAAGCCTGGGATGGGGGCCGAGAATCATTTCTATCAAGTTCCCAGTGATGCTACAGACTTCCCTGAAAGTAGCAGGGTCACAGATGATCATGTGAGATTACACAGAATTGTTCAGTATCACCTGTGACTTCGATCTACTAGATGCCAGCAACACTTCTCCCTCCCCATTAGGACAGCTGGAATTCTCCAGACATTGACAATGTGCCTGCTAGGCACAAAGGCCTACAACTAAGAACCCTATGATTTAAACTGTAGATTTACTTCTTTTTACTTCTCTTTCTTGGTACTGGGGATTGAACTTTGCACTGAGCTACTTTCCCAGTCCTTTTATTATTTATTTTACTAAATCACCCAGTAATCAAACCTGCAATCCTCCTGCCTCAGCCTCCCGGAGTGCTAAGATTATAGGTGGGTGCCACTCAGATGAAATTGTTATTCTGGAATATAAGTTTAAAAATCAAGATTATAATCAAGGGTATAAAAATACAGATATTATCAAATGGGGATGAGTTCCAACAGGTGGACATCAATAGACCTCATATTCAAAATGAATATAAAGTCATGGTTGTTATTAGAGATCATTTTCTTTCCCATGTGCACATCTACACTTACAGTACATATTGGAGCCACACTATATATGTATTGTAGTTACTTATATACTTCTCTTACTCTATATGCCTTTTGTGGGAAGGGAGCTTGATCCATGACTGCGGTATTCCCTACAATAATGGTTCCCAGATTTTTTTTTTTTACAAACCAATAAGTTTTTAAAAATTGGGGGAAGGGTCCATTGTAATATTTTTTTTACTGAGTAAAATTAAATAAAATCAACACTATGTAATAGACTCACACCAAAAAAGGAGAGAACTTTTAAATATAAAAAAGGGGGACCATTCACCTTAATAAAAATTTTGTGTTGACTACATAGATTGGCATTTGGAAGCTATAATCCCTGGAGCACCTAGCACAACATCTAAAACACAACTACATTAGAGAAAGGAAAATGTAGAAAAGAGAGGGGAGGAAGAAAGAAAAAGGAAGGGATGTTATGGGGATGAATAATCAAAGTATGCTACATGCATGTATAAATATGGTAAAATGTCACCCACTAGTCTAGATAAATAACATGCACTAATAGTGATAAAGAAATGGCTCATAAAATTTAAGTGAGTAAACAACAAAGACTTTTAATGTAATTTCTACCTGGTAATCTCGGAGACCAACCAGTATGATGTCTGAGGTATTTATCCAAACCTACAAAAGAAGTCACCAAATGTTATACTCAAAATAAAAATGAAGAATCAACTTCTAAAGGAACATGATTAGTTGAGTAATGAAAAGAGTTAAGATCATGAACAAATACGACTCCAAGTAGTTATCATATAACAGAAAACTACATAGTTGTACCATTTGTCTCTTTCACCTAATTATATATACACAGGTACTAAAACTGTTTTAGCTTAGAAACAGAAGAATTGATATTACCAAACCTTCAAAATCAGAATTGGGACATTTTTGGTCCTGGTGGTTGAAAAAAGGGACCTGCAAAGTAGGCTCCACCCTTAGCCACAGAGTTTGGACTTTCAAACAACATGATTCTTATTTAAATTTTCTCAATACCCTTTACAGCTATCCACTTAACAGGAAATCTAGAATTCAAACAAGGGCCCTTTAACTATCTTTAAAACTGGAATGGTTACCCAGCCTTTTATCCTTTCATAATATTAGCATTTTATTACAAATGGAAGCTATTTGTCTTGCAGAATGACCCCCAATTTGGACTTGCTTGTTACTGCCTCATGATTCAGAATCTGGTTACATATTTTGGGTAGGAATACAACATAGGTGATGTAAATGATTCCTTAAACAGTGGTATCTATATAAAATGACCTTTAGGATCTCGCTCTTTGACTTCAAGGTAAACTCTTGAGCCCATAAAAACTGTAAAGATGGAGAGCTGGGAATGTACTATAGTTCAGCCATGGGGCTTGTACTTAACATTCAAGAGGTCCTGCAGTTGACTGCCAGCATGCACAGGTGCAAACACATACAGACACATGAATGCTATAATCCTCACACCTGCAACCAATTATTTGTTAGCGTAAAACAAATCTCCCCACTTACCTTTTTTCTTAATTTCCCTCTAATGTGACATAACCTCTTCACACCATCAAAACACATTGCTTCTAATCGCCCGTTTCCCAACATCTTGATTACCTGAGCATATTCTGGAGGAGAGGGAGGAAAAGAATATGGGATATTGCTTGATTTTTGATAAAAGCAACTTTAAAAGCTCATGCAAAATTAACAAGACCACATGGTTCTATTGGTTGGGAATAAATACATGCAGTCAATGTATAAATATGTGCAAGAGAATTAAACACCAAGCTACTTAATGGCAGAGAAAAAACCAAGACTCTGTAATGCTGTTTGTATTACAACCTGTCTGTGCTATTAGACATATAATTATCTGCTCATTTTCAGTAAATAGAATGACTACTGTCTTCATGATGGTATGCTCTACCCCGGAGATCAAAGGTGGTTTGTTCCAAAATATACATTATACTTCATCAATCTCTCCCATTCCAATCCTTGTCCAATTTTGTTTTCCCTCAGAATCTTTAGAGGCAAATCTCATGGAAATTTTAGTATAAGTAGCTTAATAATAACAATGTCTTTGTTAATTGCACTGCAAATGGAAAACACCAGGAAGGTGACTATGAGATCTGGGGGTAATCGCACTCAGGGGCACACCAGCCACATTGCTTTAGAACCTTTAGGTATTTTGTTAAGACTATTACAAAGAAGCTATCCAATAACATGTAAACAAAGTCAACTGTGAGGCTGACATATAGAAGTTATCCAGACTGTAGTGAACCTAGTACCTCAAGATGCTCCTTCTAAAGTAGACAAAAAATATGAAGAAAAAGCATTGTGTGCCAACAAGCTCAACTGTTAATGGAGGCAAGAATGACTAAGAAAAAAAAGGTCTTTTAGCCAGAAAACATATTTCATTTTTAGCAGCTTGTACGTACAGCACAAATATATCCACCAAAAGTTGTATAGAAAGACGTAGTGGTGTATGCCTATAATCCAAGCTACTCAAGAGAGTAAGGCAGGTAGATCACAAGTTCTAGGCCAGCCTGGGGAACCTGGTGAGAATTTGTCTTAAAAAACAAACCATTTGGGATGTAGCTCAGAGTGCCCTGGGTTGAATCCTCAATACTGAAGGGGGTAAAAAAAGCTCTCTATTAAAGTGGTAGAGATTAGGAAAACTAAAACATAGACATTTTGCTAGATAATATCAACATTAAATCACTTGATCATGATATGTGAGAATGTTTGACACACACGCAACCGCATCTCAGTGTGAGTAAATGATGAAAGCTTTAGGGAGCTAACTGTAGTAAGATGCAACTTTTCTGTAGGCTTAAAATCACTCAAATATAGGAAAGAAAAGCAAGTGATCTGGTCGGAATTTATTATTGCTATGTATCTGGGTCTTAACCATTCTAAAAAGATCAAATGTTCAATTTTATTTTTTGTATTTTATGAAGTCATACTCTAATGACAATGGAGAATGCAGAGACTTTGGATTCAAATATCCAGTCTAATGAACACACTGTGTAGCACTGTTTAGTGTCAAAAAGGTTCACTAAATCACACAGTTGTCAACCATAGCTTTCAAGGCTGGATCCTTTCTGAACTGTAGAAGTCATTCTTAATTATGACACAAATGTTCACACAAAACAAGGAAACCTGCATTTTTTCAGAAACTCCATTAATGGAGTCTTAATGCAGTCTTAATATGACCAAGAAGGAAGATTACTGAAAGAAAGGCTCTAGAGAAATATAAGAAATGAGAAATGGAGAAAGGCAAATGGGACATGAGATTAACAGCTCAGGATTACCAATAGGATTGCTTTTAAATTTGGAGATTGAATTCCATATTTAAAGAAAAAATGTTACAAGCACTTACCTTGTCCATCCTCTTTGAACACCAATTCTCTTTTTTCAGATTCATTCTCATTCTTACCTCTGCGCCTGTTTTTACCTCCTTTACCTAATGGTTAAGAGAAAAGACAGAAAAAGACATCAAGTATGTGCAAAGCAGTACGAAGAGAAACTGGATTAAGGCTTATAAAACTACCTTTTAAAATTATTTCAATTTAAAAATTCATCTAATTTGGTTAGCCGATTATCTTAAATTTATAATCTTCCATCATGTTAAATGTCAATATATGACCCTATCTGCTGCATGGAATTTCTCTGAGAAAAACCACAAACAAATAGCATATATTATATAAAAGTACAATGTAAAGAAAAAAACATACCCTAGCACATGATGTTTCCAAATAAAACTGTAATAACATACATGGTGTGATTTAAAAATAATATTTACATTTAAACTTTTTTTGTAGTAAAAGACAGTGCCATTAACCCCCTCTCAGAATATCTCCTCCTACTCTCACCGCAACCTCTGGTGTCAAATCCACTCATCTCATCATTTTTGAAACTTTGTAAAACCCCCTCATGAAAGAGGACTTCCAGAAGGTATTCAGAAAGTGGCAAGAATGATGAAATAAGCAATACTGTAAGTGAGGGGGGGTATTTTGAGGGAGATTCATGATGTGTCTTTTACTGTAGTAACTATTTCTCATAAATTAAATATTAAATATTTTGATCACATCATGTAAAAATTCTTCTATGCTAAAAGCTTGGATGTTTTCTGAAGCCAGGCCCTATACAAGGAACCTGATGTTTTCCAAATGAGGCAAGAAGAATGGGCAGAGCAATGATGTTCTTCAACTTGCTATAAGAGAATGCCATACTTGTTGAAATTTCCATTTAAAACTCAATTTGCACCGGGTGTTGTGGCATGCCTATAATTCTAGCACTGAGGTAGGAAGATCACAAGTTCAAGGCCAGTCTGAATTATATAGTGAGATCCTGTCCCAACCAACAACCCTAACAACTTCAGTTTATTTGCTTTTACTTGTCATTCTTGTTTCTCTTATATGACTAGTGATACTCCTCTGAACTATTATGCCACAATGCCGTCTACTTAGTTGGCATGATGATCATCCTATGAAATGACATTTACTCCTGATTTATCCAGTAAGTGTACTGAAGCTCCGAGAAGATAACTCACTTAAAATTATGGTCAAAGTGCAGTCACCTGTACACCCCTTAATCCTTTACTGTGCCTAGTTCCTACATTAGATTACCTCTCCATAGCATTATGTTCTCATTTCACAACCAAAATATACTGGATCTTGATAAGTTTTAATAAAATGTCACTGAACAAACACACTGACTTTGTGGTGACAGAATAATTCCAACAACTCCAAGAGTTTGAGTTTTGTAAGGTGTAGCATACAATGGATATTTGAAGTTATAAAGCAAAATACCAATTGCCCCAATTTGGAAGCAACTAAGATGTCTCCTTCAGTAAGTGAAGAGATAAACTGAACATCTACACAATGGAGTAGTATTTCATGATAAAAAGAAGCTATTAAGCCCTGAAAAGACACTGCTAACTGAAAGAAGCCAATCTGTATAGGTTACATACTGTATGCTTGTATATGACATCCTGATAGTACAACTGCAGTTCATAGGCCTGTCATCAAGCTCAATTTTGAATAAAATTCAATCTACCAGCCAAGCATGGTACTACTGATTTTAAATCACCAATCTTCTAGGATGTATGAACTATATTTGATTGGTTCATGGAAGGTTTGCTGTCTTTGTTATTTTTCTGTGGTTGCTGAGACAACCATAGTTAAAAGGGGGAAAGGTTTGTTTAGCTCACAGTTTGTGGACCTGAACTGTTGCTGTAATCTCAGCACCTGAGAGGCTAACACAGCAGGGTCACTGCAAGTTGCTAGCCTGGGCTGCATAGTGAGCTGGAAGCCAGCCTGAACTACAGAGTGAGACCCTGTCTCAAAAACAAACCAAAACAACTCCCCAAAGGAACCCTCACCTTATCTTCTTTTCACAAAGATGGTCCTCAACACTCATGTTTGTTATATGACCCTACTAACCATATTGATAACCACTGGGTAATAATGTCAGCCATTTAATTGTCACAATCATCTCATGAGGTAGTAACAGATGTTTAATTCCAGTTTAACAATACATTCACCTCAGAGAACTCACTTAAGATTTGTCAGTAAGCAGGGTGAACAAATTCATTCCCAATCCTTTTTGCTCTTAGTTCCCACATTCAGGTACTGCTCCACATTATTACATTCCCACTCTACCACCTAACCCACACTAGCAGTCATTCCCAAAAATTGGGTAAAAGGCTCTAAGTGGTAGTGACACCAAAAGCTTAGGCGAAGAACTTGGAAGCTGCAAAAAGTCAACTCAGAACATTCTCCTGGCCATCGCGAACATAGACATCTAAATTATTATTTTGTTTGCAGAATTGAACCCAGAGTCTGGAACATGCTAGAAAAGCACTCCCAAGTTCCAGACATCTAAATTCTTCAATCAGTGCACTTTCTCCCTCCTGGGGCAGTCTCACATTCTTGTGTGCTACTGTCAGATGGGCCTCTAAAACTTCCTGATCCATCCCAATCCTTAGAATTCTGTATTTCAGACATTCTTAGGCCACATCAAAACTGGTTTCTTAGAATTATTTAAGCCAGCCAGGCGTGGGGACTCATGCCTGTAATCCCAGCACTCGGGAGGCTGAGACAGCGAGTTCAAGACCAGCCCGGGCTACAAAGTGAGCTCAAGGCCGGCCTGAACTGCATAGCGAGACCCTGTCTCAAAAAGACAAAAAAAAAAGCCATTTTGCAGGCCAGATCTCCAACTTAATAAAGTACAAGCTGCACTAGGGCCAGGATCACATTTGATCTCTTCAATGAGTTACATGCCAGTTTGGCAAGTGTAATGGTTGATGCATTTGCTTCAATTTTTCAGAAGTTTAGAAGCTTAAACTAAACCACTCAGCAGGGAGCCAGGGTTCTTACTATGTAAATGTCTTCATCCTGTGCAAGAGGAGGGCATTGAGATGATGTGGGTTTACAGGATCCACCCTAGGGTGGAAAGTCTGCATATATACAAGGGAGAGAAAGAGGCTTGCTCTCCTCCTTTTGCTCTTGCTGCTTTTGTTGTCTTCTGCTGCCTTGATGTGTTGCCCCTGAGCCATGACACCCTCCTGCCTTGGAGCCAACTGATTATGTCCTGAAATTTAGGTCCACAAACTGTGAGCTAAATAAACTTTTTCCCCTTTTAACTTTGGGTGTCCCAGCAACCACAGAAAAGTAACCAAGACAGCAAGCCTTCAATGAACCAATCAAATGTAGTTCATATATCCTAGAAGACTGGTGATCTTAAAATCATAGTAGTACCATTTCAAAGAGCAGGAGCACCTCATCCCATATGGTCTTTGTGAGTAGGTCAAAGGATGTTTCTTTTCCTCATTTGAGGATGGATTTCTAAGAATTTCTAGAGGAAATAAACTGGTAAGAATAAATTCAAAAGTCACACAACACATAGTCCATATCAATTTTTGCCCATATTTGTGTTAACTACCACAAAATTACATTTACAGAGATTCTGGACTTTCCAATGAAGACAGGAAAGTAAGTGTAAGTTTATTTCTGTATTACCAAATTTCATAAAATTCAGAAATCTTGAAAAGTACCCCATGAATAACCAAAATAAGAATAGTCCCTAAACTAAATTAAAATTCTCTCAGATTCCCCTTTTAAATCCAACAGAGGTATTTTGGAGAAATTCCCACGTGGAATCTTCCTTAAGCAAGACAAGAGGATAATGAACTAGATGAATTTAGTGCAGAAGTCATGTCCTCTTGCAACCAAAGGGGAAACCTATTATTTATCTAAGGGTGGCTTCAACAATATAGGGAGATGATTTAGTCTAACAAATATTTATTGAGCATCTTCTAAGTTTCAAATACTAGCAAACCAATATAATTAAAACAGATGCTATTCCTGTCCTTCAGCAAGGTGTAGTGGTGTACGCCTGTAATCCCAGCATTCCTGAGGCTGAAGCAGGAGCATTTCCACAAATTCAAGACCAACTGGGGCTTCACAGTGAGTTCAGACCAGCCCCTGGGCTACATAGGGAGACTGCCTCAAAATTTAAAGTTTACAGCCTAGTGAAATAACTGGGTATTTAATCAGCAGAAATGAAGATGAGAATAAAATATCTACTGATGTAATCCAACTACCATTTCAAAATAATCGATTTTACAGATTAAAAGAAAAACTGTAAGACTTTTAAAATGCTATGCTATCACACCATCTTTCCTGTAACAATTAGTAGTAAAAATTCTTGCCATAAAAAAAGACCTGGAAGTTTGATTTCTGAGGGCAGTATTGGTGAGTGGCCTGAGAGGACTGCACCAAGTCATTGATAAACTGATGGGAGTATCCTTAAGGATGTGAGTAATGACGTCTACAAAGACTAAATGAGGAAGAATGCCAGGCGCCAATCAAGTAGTAAGCAGATTTCACAAGCAGACTTGAGTCAGGGAAGAAGGTTCTAAGATGAACACCCAAAAGAAACTTCTGATATGCTCCTCCTTTCCTGTAGGAAATACAATTTTCCCTATTTCTATTCGCACAATTTTCTTCGATAAATTCTAAGGATATTAGAACTAACAGAAACACTCTAAGTCTATAATAAGGGGAATTTCCTTAGAAGTGTTCTCTTTTAACTTTGGTGAAGTCTTCTATTTTGGAAATCCCCAATACACTTATTTTATACCCATCATAGACACACGTGAAGCAAAAGTATCAAACTTAGGTCACTATAAAGAAATGCAGCAAAGTCCTTAGCGATAAATCTTAATGCATTAAGGAGAAAAAATATCTCAAGGCATCGCCCGCTGTTTCAAGGGACCAAGGGACAGCCTCAATAATACTGAACACTGGATAAATCAGCCCATGCAGGAGTACCAGATGGGCACAAGAGAAGACATGATCCTTTTAAAGTTTAGAACCTCTCACGGGGATTAAACTCCGAAGCCCGGTGAAACTAAAGGAGGAACTCATCTGCGATGCCCAGGAGGTCCAGTGGCGGTGCCCCTTAAGGTCCCTAACGCGCCGCCATAACCTGGCGCGAATCAGGGGCCAAAGCCCACATTCTCTCAAGGGAGGCCCCACAAAAATGGCGTCGGCTCCACCCCAATGTGATCAAACTGGGCAACACTAGTAACTTCCCCTCCTCTCTCAGCTCAGAGTCGCATGCGGCCCGGCCAGCCCCTGGCAGGCAGGGCGGGAAGGCAGGAAGGTCACTGGGGCCTGGGTTGATCCGGAGGCCGCGGGCAGGCCCGGGGAAACCAAGCCGAGCCAAGCCATAGCCTCGGGTCCACACGGCATTACCTTTATTCTTGGGCATGGTGGTAACGACAGCGGGGCTGCTTCTTTGACTTCTTCCCGGGTGGCTGAGGCGTGGACGAGGGACGCAACGGATGCAGCGAAGGACCGCGTGGAACTAGGCTAGCACTGGAGGCCCTGCAGCGAGCGCGGGAGTCTATCAAGCTAGATCTACCAAGATCCGCTAGCGCCCACGCTCAGCAGCAGCAAATGGCGTCGAAGCTACTGGCGTTGATTTTCCCCGCCTCCTGCCGCCTGTGAGGCCAGTCCTCTACCCGCCTCCCCAACCCTGTTACAACCACCCTATCCCCGCCCCGGCTACAAGGCACAGGCGTGGCCAACTGACCCTTATTGTTACAACCCAGGGAGAAGCTTTCTCCCTGCAGCCGCCGGATTGGACATAGCGGGAGGGGGGGGGGGACGGGGAAGGGCCAGAGAAAATGGGCGGGGCTTACGCCATAGTAAGGGGCGGGCTGAAGTAGCGCCGGCTCCTGATTGGCCTTCCCCTTTCTTGCTTTGTAACAAACCTGCTTCTTGAGGTTAGACAAGTTGCTGACTCATTAACTTCGGAGTTAGCTCACGTTTAGCTTGGCTATTTGACCTGCCTAGCCAGTCTGGGAACCTGATGGGAGGGGTTATGGCTTTCTGTCATCCATTACCAAAGCACATTTCCATGACACTTGTTGCTACTTTTAAAATATCTATCTTGGTTCCTTATTGTAAACCTTCCCAGGTAGAGACCACATCTCATTACCAGCACTTAACAGAATGACTGGCTCAAAGTGGATGCTCAATACTCGCAGGCAAAAAGAAAGAGAAAAAGAAGACTTAAATTTTGTGTTAGGAGCCCAAATGCCCCCTTCCAAAATGCATATATGAAAGTTCTAACTCCAGAACTTGAGCATATGACTATTTGGAGATATGGTTTTAAAGTGATGATTACTTTGAGATGAGGCCATTAGGCTGGGAACAATCCAGTATGACTAGTATCCTTATAAGAAAAAAAGATACCAGACCAAACATGGTGGTATATACCTGTAATCTTAGCATTTGGGAGACTGAGGCAGGAGAATGCCACGAGTTTGAGGCCAGCTTGGACTACATAACCAGACAGTGTTTCAAAAAGCAAGAAAAGAAAAAGAAATTCAGACAGTCATAAACGGAGAACAGCATGTGAACAAGAAGGTAGTTGTCTAGAAGCCATAGAGAGAGAACTCAGAAGACAGAAACTCTGTTCCTTGATCTTAGGGTTCTATCCTTCAAAACTGTGAGAAAGTAAATTTCTGTTGCTTACGCCATCCAGTCTGTGGTACTATAATTTGTTATGGCACTGCTAAGCAAGGTACTACAGTTGGCTACACAGTTGGCTGGGTGAATAGTTTCAATTTAAAGTAAATGTATTTTAAATAAATAATCTTTCTGCAAACAGTAAGGTTTTAACATCATCTGTCTAGGGGAGTGGACATACTTAGATGACAGAGAAATAAAGTATAGTTGAAAGGGCAGGGGTCTGTGAATGAAATAAAATAGAATAGGGGCCTCATTAGGTCTTCTAGCTAATCCTGACTAGAAGGAGTTAAAGACAAACTTTACTAGAGAAATTCCTCTTGGAAGCAGGTCAAGGATGGGAGTAGGAAAAGAAAGAAAAACTACATAAAGAAAGGCACCAAATGACCTTGGGACTTGCACTAAGGGGCCAGAGAAAGAACTGATGGGACACAGAGAGAAAGCCAAGTACACAAACAATAAACCAATCCACTTAGTTATGTGTGTACTCACTTGAGAGTCACTGTATTATTACTCTAGGGTCATTACAGAGTACACTAGGTGTCCAAATGCCCCCTTACTAACTCTAAGCTAACCATAGATAAGGTACCTTCCTTACCATCTAGTCATCTACTCCAAAGGTAAGGCCTTAAAAGGTCGGTCAAGGACAAGTAAAACAGACAGAAGCTATACTCAGACCACTGAAAGAAATGATGGTAAGCAGAGGTGCCTGCAAGCCAATCCAGTTATGGCAAATTCTAGGGGATTGGAGGGTCTCTGACTGCCTCTTTAAAAGCAGCTGGGAATGAAGAGCCAGTAGGTCTTCCATCTTTCCAGAGCTCCCTATTCTGATTCTTCCTTTCCAAAGTAGATGTCTTCTCTCTTTTTCCCCTTCCTTTTTCACTTTACAAATAAAATGTCTTTCTTTTGTTAAACTGTATGCCTCTAATTATTTTTTTTATTGGGGCTAAGTTTACAATCCCAGTTGGCTGCACAGACAACAGCAGTGGTTCTTGTCCCCCAGATTTGACAGTCATCTAACACAGTAATTCTCTGCTGGGGACATATGGCAGTGTCTGGAGATATTTCTGACTGTAACAATTAGTGGAGAGAGGCAGCAATGTTTGTATCTAGTGGCCAGAGGTCAGGGATGCTGTTAAACATCCTACTATAACAGGCTTTAGTGAGACAGGAGTTAGGATTCTACTAGGTAGGAAGGACGGCATCCATAAAATGGAGTCAGGAAGTCCAAATTTGAGTCTGCTTAGTTCTGATCCTCCAGGGATCTTAACAAAAACATCTGTCAAGTGTCCTTCAGTTGTACAGAACCTCCCCTTAGCATGATCAGGCAAGCAAGGGTGCTTGTGCCCTGTGTGGACACTGCGTAGATTGGACTGTAAGAAATAGGTAGTCTCCTATAGGGTAGAGTTTATAGCGCTTACATATAACAGCTCAAGCTCCCTTCTAAATCCTTTAAAAACCTCTAGACAAAGAGCCCTTGTAGATATCTTAGTCAGAACCCCCTCCAGCTATTGGGAGCTTTATGTCTTTGCCTTTATTATATCTTTTACTGTTTTTGCCTTTTTATCTTTCATTTTTTATGTTTGTGTCTTTTAAATTAATTTGTTTGCACCTTTCCTCTTTTGTGCTGCAGTTTCATTCTTTATCACTGTAGGACATTTCTAGTTCTCAAAACTGGGGAAGATGCACTGATGTTTGTATCCAGTGGGCAGAGGGAGGGATGCTGTTAATCATGCTACAATGCGCAGTACAACCAGTTCAAAGACAAAATGACAAAAGAGCTGAAGTTTAGAAACCCAATGACCAAAGATGTACTTCTCAGAGGCAAACTGAGACATGATGGGGCACTCAAAAGTCATTTTTATTTCTGCTTGCAGTATTTTGGGATTTATGCAATTAAGGGTGAAATGGTGTCTTTATGAAATGTATTTAAATTTTGCTTTAAGTTCAAGTGATTATGAAATTGGGATTTGGAGTTACAGGGACCTCTAATCCAAGCTCTGTAGAACATTTTTACTCTATGATTTTGGACAATTTACTTAATCTTTTTATAAGCCACTCAATTTTGCCATCTGTAAATTAGGTGCAGGAATGATACTGACGATATTGTATCATTGCAGTAATTAAACTGATATAATGCATTTGGTGTTTAGCACTTGTGCCTCGTACACAATAAATAATCAGTTACACTTCAAGTGTCAGGAAGTCTAAATATTTAAAACCTAAAAGTCTCTGTCAATTACCTGATACAAAGCCTTAAAGGAGAAAATAAACATCAAGCGTCATTTATCTACCATAGCATGGTTCCCACAGCTGACCAATCATTAGAATCACAAGGAAGGAGATAAATGATGTAGACATGTGGGGAAAATATGTAGGCAGAGAAAACACAAAGGGCAAAGACCCTCAGTGGAAGCATGTGTGACATGTTCAAGAAATAACAAAGTTGGACATGGTGGCACAAACCTGTAATCCCAGCACTCAGAAGGCTGAAGCAGGAGGATTTCAAGTTTGAGGCCAGCCAGGACTCCATAGTGTGTCCCAAGACAGCCTGGGCTACAGAGCACAATTCTGTGTTAAAAAAAAGAAAGAAAGAAAAAGCAAAAGAAAGCAAACAAGCAAGAAAGTGAGAATGAGCTGGGCATGGTGGCATGCACCTGTAATCTCAGCTACTCAGGAGGCTGAGATAGGCTCGCTTGAGCCCAAGAGTTCAGGACCATCCTGGGCAACATAGTAATATCCTGCCTAAAAAAATAAAAAATATGTCGGGCGTGGTGGTGCATACCTGTAATCCCAGCACGGTGGGGAGGGGGCGGGTTTAAAGAAGTGCAGTGAGTTTGAGGCCACCTTGGTGGGCTATGTAGTGAGCTCAAAGGCAAGACCCTATCACAAAAATTAAAACAGAAAAAAGGAAAAGAAAAAAATGCATAAAGGCTAGTGCAGATGTAGTTGGCCAAGAGGAAAGTTTGGGGAGATAAGATCAAAATCAGAGAGGCAAGGAGATCAGATCATTTGTTGTGATTCTCAGTAGGGTTCAAACAAATCATTGTGGTTTCTGTGTTAAGACTGTAGGGAGCTGGGTGGAGTGGTATACACTGAGGCAGGAGGAGTGAAAGTTTGAGCCTAGCCTGAGAAATTTAGCAACTTAGATCCTGTCTCAAAATAAAAAATAAAGCTGGGTCTGGTGCTGAACATGTGTAATCCCACCGCTCAAAAGGCAGAGGCAGATGGATTTCTGAGTTTGAGGCCAGCCTGGGTTACACAGTGAGTTCAAGGCCAGCTTGGGCTACATAGTGAGATCCTGTCTCAAAAATGAATGAATGAATGAATAAAAAGGCTGGAGATGTAGCTCAAAGCAAACACCCTGGGTTCAATCCCCCGTACTGTAAAGAAAAAAAAAAAGATTAAGTGAACTAAAACCCATTAACTTGTACATTTTTAATGGGTGAACTTCATGTTTTTGCATTATATGTCAATAAAAAAATAGGAAAAATAAAATAACCAAGCCAAGGAAACCAAGGAAAAATAAAATACAAATGGCACTGATAATTTATCTGAGATTAGAAAACAAAAGCTTACAGTGGTATCAGTTTGCAAAATTTTATGGTTTCTTCCAACATAGTATCCAAAACTGTACATACAGACTAATATAGAGTGGTGGTGTTTGCCACTACTCCATATTAGCCAAAATGATCCAAGATTTGAGTTTTTCCTCATGGGTGCAGTATAAAGGCAAAGATGTAGGAAAATTCAGGGTGCTTCTGACAGGAATGCTCAGATGACCAACTTTGAGACCATGAGGTTCAGTCTGTATAGAAAAGGAAATAAAGACAGGGGACAGTCGGGGTGCAAGGGTGTGCATTATAACCCCCACTACCGAGGAACCTGAAGTGAGACAATTGTAAATCTGAGTCCAGTTTGGACAACATAGTGAGACCTGATCTCTAAAAGAGAACAAAACAACACCAACAACCCAA